CCCCCCCCCCCCCCCCCCGCACCTCGCAAGCCCCTCTGATCTCGTCCATGATCATCAACACGTAGTCCAGCTTGTCCACGCCCTTCCTCCTGAGCCCAAGCCTCCGCCCGCGGTCGAACGAGGTAACGACGAACAGGATGCTTGGCATTTCAACCTGATCGGGCTGGCGTTGGGTGGTTGCACGTCGCGAAACACGCGGAGTGAGTGGTAAAGGTAGAAGTAGACGCGAAGCAGCGTATGCGCCGATGGTTTGGCGTGGATCGGAGGATGTTGGTCGTGGGATATGTATGTGTATGGCGTGGGACAAAGAACGGACAGTTGGAACAGCCGCGGAGAGGGGCAGCGGCGGTGGTTGTGCATGCGCCGGACGCGCCTCGACACAAGTTGTGGTTGATGTTGTTGTTTTCACGATATGGAAGAAAAGGTGTACGCGGGGTATGAATGCGGAGAAACAACTTTTCCATGGGCCATACCCTGACTCCAAAACGTGGTCTCCACATGAACATGTGCCTGACCCGTCACTACAAGTCCCACCACTCGAAAAAACAAACCAACGTGCTATCGAGGTAGGGATGAGCGACAACGCAAGGCACGAACGGCCGCAACAAGAGGATACACGTGTTCGGGAATGCCACCACTCGCCCCGCTCTCCGCCCCCCTCCGAGAAAGCCGAAAGCAACGGCTGTAACCTTCGTGCAAAGCACACTACCCCAAGCCGCAACAAAGTTCCCCTCACAAGTCGTACACAGGCTTTCGTTAAGCGAGAACACCCGCAACTGCCACACTCCCACCACCGGTGGCGATGGTGGTGGTCGCAAGAGCACAATAACAAGACTTCGCGAGCACGGCCGCCAACCCGCGAAAGCAACAGCAACAGCCAAGAGCAGCACCAAACGTCGCAGCGCTTCGCTCTTCTTGCTGCTGTATGCGCACTCACAGCAGCCGTCGTCGACGCATTGTTGTCTTTGTTGCTGTCGCCCCTAGCGGCGGCGGCGGCGGCAGCGCCGGAGACCGCGCCGACGGCGGTCCACTTTTCCGTCAGCCTCCGCATCTCCTTCGGCGCGATCGGCGGCACGTACGTCGCGCCCCAGAGCTCGACGCCCGTCTCAAGCCGGCTCAGCCGTTCTTCCAGCGGCAGCGGCTCGAAAGCAGCAACTTCTCCCCCCTCCATGTCCCCCTGCCCCGGCGGGGGTTCGTCCCCCAGTGCACGAAAGCCCCCCTCTCCCTTGCCTCCCTCCAATGGTTGTTTTTCTTCTCCCCCTCCCCCCCGTCCAACGCCGGGGCCCCCAGGCGTTACGTCGTTCTCCCGGTGGACGTCACCGCCCCTGCCCCTCTGCAGCGACCGGTTCGGACCGCTGCTGCTGCTCCTGCTGCTGCTGTTCGCTCGGCGGCGTGAACCTCGCGCGTCGTTGCCATCACCACCACTGACGGCAGGGTCACCACCACCAGTAGCAGTCTCGTCACCCTCTCTAATCCCATCGGCAGCAGCACTCGCTGACAATCGCGCCTCTTCCGCCGTTCCCATCTGCGTCGCCGCCGCCGCCGCCGTGCCCTCTTCCTTCTCGTCATGACCGCCGCCGCCGCCGTCTGCCGCTCTCGCTGTTGCAGCCGATGATCCTGATTCTCGACCCTGCGCCCCGCTGTCGCTGATTGCGTTGCTACCGCTCTCCTCGTCGACGCTCTTGCTGCTTCCCGTGCCCGTCCTTCCCTCCCGGATGTCCTTCGCGCGCGTTTCCAGCCACAGCTGGCGTTCTCGCTGGTGGACACCGTTGTGCACCGACCGGGTTCCGATGTCATCGCTGAGCTCGGCAACGTGTACTGTTGATTAGCCGAAGGGAGGTGGGGGTGGATGATCGAAGTCGTCAGAGTGGGACGCACGACTAGCAGAAGCAAGGGGCCGGGGGGGGGGGGGGGGGG